TGTGTGTCAGGTGCTGATCAGCTGTCGCTCCTGCTCGAATGGCTTCACACCGAACGAGCGGATCCGGAACATCGGCATCTCGGCACACATCGACTCCGGGAAGACCACACTGACCGAGAGAGTGCTCTACTACACCGGCAGGATAGTGGAGATGCACGAGGTGACTCTACACGTGTGCTCTTGCTGGCCTGGGCTCAAAACCCGAGCTGTCAGCTCACTGCTGTGTGTGTGTGTGTGTGTGTGTGTGTGTGTGTGTGTGTGTGTGTGTGTCTGTCTGTGTGTGTGTCTCAGGTGAGAGGGAAGGATGGAGTGGGCGCAATCATGGACTCGATGGAGTTAGAGAGACAGAGAGGAATCACTATCCAGTCCGCTGCCACATTCACCATGTGGAAAGATCACAACATCAACATCATCGACACACCAGGTAACAGCCGACGGACTCTGAGAAACAGGGAGAATACAGGCGGATAACACACTTCCAGCTAACAGGGAACATTCTTCCAACGTTTTGAACAAAACGTTCTTCTAGTAATCAGCAATAAATGCTCTGCAGTGAATGGGTGCCGTCAGAATGAGAGTCCAAACAGCTGATAAAAACATCACAATAATCCACAGCACTCCAGTCCATCAGTTAACATCTGGAGAAGACAAAAGCTGAAACACATCCAGCATTAAGACGCTTTTAACTTTAAACCGTCTGCTCTTTAATAACATTAAACTCAAAACGTTAGCACAAAAACATGATACATTTTTCATGCTTTTAGTTGGTAATTCTTCTAATGTGTATTTTAAACATTACTGCTTACTAATGTCAGAACGTTCAGAGAATATTAACGAGGCGTTCACACAGTGATTAAATGGAGCGTTCCCTAAATGTTTTCTCTAATGTTCCTAAAACCAAGAAAAATGTTTTTAAAACATTATAAAAACCAGGATGTTTTGAACCTTCAGAGAACAGTCAGAAATAATGTTTTATTCAATGGGAACGGTAGAAAAGCATTCTTAAAACATATATTTTTAAGCTGGGCTACTGAATGTGTGCAATTCGGTGACTCAACCATTGTTTTCAGTGTATAATTGGAAAAGATGACTGTATTTGTTTGTGAGATGATAACTGTGCAGTGAGTTCAGTAGTCGGTGTGATGGAGTCGTGTAACGTTATGCTTAGATTCACCTTATTTTGGGCATTTGCAACTTATATGTTACAGGCTTAGGGTGTCTTGCTTCCAGCTATTTTACCTGAATGCAAGCAGTCCGTCAGGCTGATTCACAAATGCATTGTTTTACCGTTTTCTGCACTTCTAGTAATTGACCGAATGAATCTGGTCTCACACATTCACAGAACACAGCTTATTCCATGTTGCAAAATAAGGTGTGTCCTGCACACGGTTTCATGTGCTTGGTCAGATCTAGTGTGCAGCTGATGTTGTGATGCGCTGGTCAGGTCACGTGGACTTCACCATCGAGGTGGAGCGGGCTCTGCGTGTGCTGGATGGAGCGGTGCTGGTGCTGTGTGCCGTCGGAGGAGTGCAGTGTCAGACCATGACCGTCAACCGGCAGATGAAGCGCTACGGCGTGCCCTTCCTCTCCTTCATCAACAAACTCGACCGACAGGGCGCCAATCCCAGCCGAGCGCTCCAGCAGCTGAGGTGAGTCAGCACCGGCGCAGAGCACACGGATCCAAACCGGCCCCGTCCCCCAGAGATCGTGATTCAGGCTCTCTATTGAAAGTATTCATAAAGAAATATACATAAACGTCATCCATATGAATAGAGTGGTTTAATTCAAGTCTATAGAGACGCGATTGCTTTAGACGATGAACAGATTGAATGTAGGCTTTTATTCACACATAAACAGTGAGCACGTCAGATATGGCAAACAGAAGCTTTAATGTGCTTGCTTGATGCACAAAAACAAACCTCACTGGTTTCATTAAAATATTGTGATTTGTGTTTTAAAGATGAACAAAAATCTTGCATTTGAGTGACATGAGAGTGGGTAAATGAAGACATAATGTGCATTTTTAGATGAACTATCTCTTTAATTCAGCAGCCAAACAGATGTTTAAGGGTTAGACACTGTGTAGAACCAGAATGTGAGCCATTTATATATTTATATATATATAAACTTGTATGCATTATTTTTTATAATTTGTATGCATTCATATATTTTTTAAATATATTTTAAATATTAACGATTTTTAGCAATTATTATATATTTTTATTTTATATTTATATAATAATAATAATAATAATAATACATTTTATTTGGTGGTGCCTTTCAAAACACCTAAGGACACCTTACAAAACAAAATGAGAAAAAAAACTGTAAAACAAGCCCAACAATTTATCAGTAGTACAATCAAGTAATAATTAAAAACAAGGTGTTAAACTAACAGAAACACTTAGGCCATAAAATCAAAATGGATATAGAGAAAATTATATCGAGGTAATATGTAGATGAGAAAAAGCAATGGTCCCAGCACTGAACCCTGAGGAACACCATGACTGACTGTGGCCATTTTTGATGCCACATTTTTTCCCTGAATGAAATATTTTCTATTGTGTACATACAACCTGAACCAGACTAGTGCATTAATAGTGATCCCAATGGCAGCCAAACGTTCCAAAAGAATTGAGTAGGAGATGGTGTCAAAGGCTGCGGTAAGGCCGAGTAGGATCAGGATGGATAGAGGGCCGTTGTCAGCTGCAAGTAAGAGATCGTTTGTGATTTTTGCCAGGGCTGTTTCAGTGCTAATGCCATGGTAATTATTTGGTTCATTAGGATCCGAACCAGGTTTAACAGAAACAGTTTTGAGAGATGTAGGGACAGTGGCAGTAAGTATGGAGGGCAAACAGGTTTTGACCAGAAGAGTAGGGAGTTCTTGGACTTAGAAAATATATATATATTTTTTTTTTCTAGGACTAAACTGAATCATAATGCAGCGTTTATCAACATTCCCATCGGACTGGAAGGAAATCTGCGAGGGATCGTTGATCTGATCGAGGAGCGCAGCATCTTCTTCGAAGGCCCTTTCGGGTAGAGCGTGTGCTTGATGCTTTACTTTCTTTAGCGCTTTATACTTTGAGACGTGCTGTAAATCTCATGGTCTCTCATCTCCATGTCTTTGTCGTTTCTCTCTGAAGTCAGAGCATTCGTTTCGATGCGATCCCGGCGGAGATGCGCGCCGAGGCGGCAGACCGCAGACAGGAGCTGGTGGAGTGTGTGGCGAACGCTGATGAGACGCTGGGAGAGATGTTTCTGGAGGAGAAAGTTCCCACGGTGGA